TGAAGCAAAAGTAAAAAAACAAAAAAAAAAAACCCTATGACAGAAACAAACAACATGACAGGAACACAACAATCTGACAAAGACTGACAGAACCCCGGGAACTAAATACAAGCAAAGTGACGAGGCAACAAGAAACACCTGGACAAGACACAAAGGGTTGAGGGAGCCGATTGGTTAAACACAAGGGACCCGGATGATGAGAACAGGTGAAGGCAAAAAAGGCACATGAGGGAACAAAACCGAATGTAATCTAAACAGATTTCAATACAAAAAAAAAAAAACATACTTGCAGGAATACACTGGAAAAATTAACTCAGATATATGAGCAAGGTCAAGAAAACCACATGAAGCCAAAGTAACAAAAAAAAAAAAAAAACCCTATGACAGAAACAAACAACATGACAGGAACACAACAATCTGACAAAGACTGACAGAACCCCGGGAACTAAATACAAGCAAAGTGACGAGGCAACAAGAAACACCTGGACAAGACACAAAGGGTTGAGGGAGCCGATTGGTTAAACACAAGGGACCCGGATGATGAGAACAGGTGAAGGCAAAAAAGGCACATGAGGGAACAAAACCGAATGTAATCTAAACAGATTTCAATGCAAACATGGTGAATCAGCTTTTAGCTGTTACGCTGCTTGCAAATGGAATAAACTCCCGCCAGAAATTAAGTCAGCACCACGTCCCGGTTTAAGTTATGTCAAGTCAAAACCTTTGTTAGGGCAAGTCTCGACCCAGGTCTACACAATCCCTGCAGTCACTTTACCATTTTAATTGAAGAAAATATGGTAATATTCCCTTCATTCATTTCTAATCCACTTATCCTCACCAGGGTCGTGGGTGCGCTGGAGCCTATCCCAGCTGTCTTCGGGCAGTAGGCGGGGTACACTCTGAACTGGTTGCCAACCAATCGCAGGGCACACAGAGACGAACAACCATCCTCACTCACGCTCACACCTAGGGACAATTTACAGTGTTCAATCAGCCTGCCATGCATGTTTTTGGAATGTGGGAGGAAAATCCACGCAGGCACGGGCGAGAACATTCAAACTCCACACAGGAAGGCCAGAGCAGGAATCAAGCCCTGAACCTCTGCAATGTGAGGCGGATATGCCAATCAGTCCACTACCGTGCCACCCTCTGGTGAGATTGTTGATAATGTATTAATTATGAATTTTTCCACCAATCTAGACATTAAAAAGATCAGAGAGCAGTTTATCTCAAGTGCCAAGTTGCTCGGTTTGAAGCTATTAGATATTAAACACCAGGACACCTGAACAATGCCTAACACCTCAAAATATTGAATATCCCCCCACCCCCCCCCAAGTCAAAAGCCAGTCTGATCAAGACCCGACGATTGGGTGCACTCAACTCCCTCAACAAGCGAATCCGTAACATTAGTCCTCCTCACCTCGGTTTTCAGTCTAATTGTTTTGGAGTGATGAATCCTGATCAGACTTGTTACCAATGGTCGGCTTGATGGAAATAGCTGCAGCTAGCTTAATAGCGTAACACGATGGCAGTGAGATACTGTCGCTCTCTACCGACCAATTACAGAAGTTAAAAAAGGAAGGAGTGTGCAAAATCCTCCCATCTGAACCCGTGGTATTGTTTGAAAGGAGTGATTTTATTTCTTTCTCCTTTACAGTATTTATTTATTTCCCCATTGTGTCTAGCGCCACACTACACAAGCTAACCAGACTGCGCTGTGACTCATTACCAGCAAAACAGTGCTGTGCAAGTAAACAGTGAGACAAAGATCGTGTACCAAACTGGTCCCAATCCTACTTCTTTGTTAAAAGAGTGACTTATGTAGGTAAGGATTTAATATCGGAGAGTAACCGCTCCAGGCGGCTGCTCTTTCACACTCACCTGGGAGAAATTGAGGCCGTTGAGGGGATGACACTGTTCCTCTACCTTCTCCACAGCTCCTGTCCTTTTCCTCATCCTCTCCGCCTCCTGTGCCAGGTACAAGTCCAGCACTGGCACGCCTCGAGTCTTAATGTCCGCCTCAGTGAGCGAATTAACCATCAGCATGACCCAGACAGGCCGCTTCCTCTCCCAGTTTCCAGCGATGGCGTTAAAGAGGTAGTCCGCGTAGAGTCCCTTCCCTCTCTGATCTGGCGTCATCCATGAGGGCATCATGAGTTTGACATACTCCAGGTGCCTCTTGAGTCTGCGATAGATGTCTCTGGGTAGAACGTCCTGCAGGTTCTCGCCCTGAGGAAGCAGCTGGCAGCTGGTCAAGGCCGAGATGGTGTAAGGATCAGTCAGGTCGAGCTCAAAGTAGACTATGTTGCTCTCCTGGAAGGCCTGCTTGGAGTTCTCAGGGATGAAGTCCCACACACGAGTGTAGGGAACGTGGATTGTGCCGTAGAAATAAGAAGGAGGGTCCCGTCTGATAGTCCACAAGAAGGAGTTTAAGTCAGTTTGCTGCAGGGGAGAAAACAAATGATATTTACCTGGATGGGATAATACTTGCAAACATTGGTAGTGTTGTGGTTCACCTCGCCTTTCACAATTAACAATTGCCATGAGATTCATAAAGTCATCTTAATGTCATCACAAAACAGCGGTCCTGAACCATTTTTGCCCCACGGACCGGTTTAATGTCAGACAATATATTTAGGGACCGGCCTTTCAGGCCGGTTAAATAAAACAAAATAATGACCTGATATGACCTGCATGAAAACTGTGGTATTTTCTAAACATAATAATAAACACGAATTATGACACGAGGAACGTCCTATCTGGCCTCATGGTAACGTTTAAACGTTCCTTCAATATAAGACACCGTAAATATAGAGTGTATATAAAATACGACTGACCACCGCCGCATATTATGCAGAGTGGGTTTGGTGCGCGGGAATCTCCCGTTGAGACAAATCTGTATTTTAGTCAAGTCAAGTCAGCTTTTATTGTCAAATATGCTCTCTGTGTAACATACAGCACAGATGAAATCACTATTTTAAGTAGAACTCTTGATACTGTCTATTAAATGTAGCCTCTTTCTCTTGAAAGTCTCCTGGCTGGGCCTTTTCCCCTTCCCAAAGACGTTTGTTTTCGACTCACTACGCTAGCTCGACTCACTTTGCTAGCTCCGGGGTTTTAGCATTAACCTATCACGTGACCGAGAAGCGCGCCTTGCCCGGCGTCAAGAGTGACATTCTGTAAATGGATGTAACACAGAATCCGGTAATGTTTCAAAATAAAATATATTTCGCGTTCCAAAATGAATAAAACGGAAGTAATGTCAGTTATTTATTCTTTCTGTGCAGCCCGGTACCAAATGACCCACCGATCGGTACCGGTTGGGGAACATCGCTCAAAAAGACCCCCTGAGAAAGAAGGGGCTCGTGGTGGGAAATTACAAGGGGACAGGTCAAATGATTGGGAAGGTGACTTTGGCACAACGTCGTTCATCTCAGCCAGGAAGTCCCAGATGATCAGGGTATTTTGAACAGGCATATTGTAATGATGAAGCAGCCACAAATTTTCCCATCATAACTCTACTCTTCTCGCACACTCATCCGGCCTGCACCTTGACAAGGGAGAACTCATAGTTTGTAGCTTGGATTTAAAATCTAGTTTTTGTGACACTAGTCCTTGAACTTTTCTGACACAGCCCATACATGTTTTGGGATTGTAAGAGGAAGACGGGAAAAAAAACAAAAACAAACAGACAACAATACAATACAGGGAGAACATGCAAACTCCACATGGGAGCTGGAATTCCAATCCCAGACCGCAGCGTTGTAAGGCAGATGTGATCACCACTAACAATATGCCTCAAAATTCTTCAAAAATTCTGATGCGACAAAAATTAAAGTTCTGAACATAACTTTCACTTCTCAGCGTGCTTGTTGTTTAGTGACATTTCAATCAACAATCGAATTACCATTTCAGCAAGCCAGCAGTTTAAAAAGAGAAGTTATTTCACGCCTTGCACATCAAACACTGGAGCTGTCTGACACTTACCCCAAGAGACTGTTTATTAGCCGAGTGCTAACAGAGCCATAATGACTGATTAACAGGCCACTTGGGAGCAAAGTGTCAAACAAACAATACACGTGATGTCACATGATCAGACTGCGGATTAGCCGTCTTCGTGTTTCTGGATGGATCTGACTTGCAAGAATAAACTTGAGACTGATAGTAGCCTGAATGTGGATACAGTAATTGATGGCTTTCTTACTTGTCGAGCCAGTATTGCAGTTGTGGCTAAAAGTTCCTGGAGTGACGTATTTTATATGAGTCTCAGCTCTTTTTAAAAAAAAAAAAATCTGAGATATTTTTGGGAAAATTAAACAAATTTGTGGAAAAAGTCATTATTTACATTGCTGACCGAGCAAGTCAAGCCTTTTTTGAAATGTAGATAAATTGCAGGTTCGTGACACGACTGTATCTAAATTATAAATCAAGCATGAAAACAGAAGCAGCAAAGTTGGTGAGTCAGTACACAAACACAACTGCAGTGCTGAAAATGAATTATATTCTGCATCCTATATTCATTAATCATAATAATAACAATCAATTAAGTGTCTATCTATCTATCTATCTATCTATCTATCTATCTATCTATCTATCTATCTATCTATCTATCTATCTATCTATCTACTATCGGTTGTATCTATCTATCTATCTATCTATCTATCTATCTATCTATCTATCTATCTATCTATCTATCTATCTATCTATCTATCTATCTATCTATCTATCTATCTATCTATCTATCTATCTATCTATCTATCTATCTATCTATCTA